GACCCCGTTGTTTCACATGAACCCTCCCACCGGACCGCCCTCCGTCCATCCTGCTTCCAAGTAAGAAGGTCTTTCTGAAACACTCCTCAGAGCTCCACTACTGAGGAACGTGGAAACTTTTAAACCTTTAAACACTTGAACAAAAGATGTAATTTATATTCTGACAGAACAAGCGATGATTTAGTGTCCTAATGATGTGGCCGTTCCCGATGAAGTTGCACAAACAACAACAGTTGAGCCGTTAACGGCCCCCACCGCCCTGCTGCGGTCGTGTTGGTGCCTCTCTGCAGAAGGCCTCTCATTTGGGCTCAATCAAAGTTGTGGAAACTGGCTCAGAGCTGGTCCTCCTTCAGATTTGTAGCAGTGGAAAAATTAAATGGATGACGGGCTGGTTTTGTGGCTGCGCTCTGAGAGGGCGGCTCTATGCAGCAGCTGCTCGGGGGAGAAGATCCAGAAGCTGCTGCTGGAGGAGTCAGCTCAGAGATATGAGAGGAGACTAAACAACTTACTGAAATGCACATTCTTTATTGTCCACCAAAACCATGTCCTAACAGGCTTTATACACTGAAACAGTATAAAAACTCTCGTTTTCAGAGTTTATTATAGTGCATAAAAATACGGAAATATTTTTTGTCTCCTTTATTTGGTTTATTTATTTAAAATATTTAATGAAAACATTTTAAAATAACAAAACAACTAGTATTCTGTGAAAAAATGTTCATTGCCAACCACCTCACATGCAAAGTTTTGAAGTCCACCACCCACCATTTTGTTCATATTACATATCCAGTGAAATATAATACTTCTTCCAGTTATTTCAATAATGGTGTACCACAAGGCTTGGTCTTAGGACCCACTCTCTTCACAATCTACATAGGTAATGTAGGTCAGAGCATTCCTAATGCATCCTTACATTTCTATGCCGATGACACAGTTGTTTATTGTCGAGCTAAAACAGTTGCTAAGGTTTTCCAGCTTTTGCAATCCACCTTTGACATCATCCAGTCAGATTTGTTCTGTCTCAAACTAGTTCTGAACACCGACAAAACCAAAGGGATGCTGTTTTCAAACAGGACGTCAGTCCCAGCAGTCCTTCCTCTGATTTTATCCTGGAATGGTGTCCCTATTGAGTTTGTCGATTCCTACAAATACTTGGATATCTTGGTTGATTCTGAAATATAATTTTATCAGATAATATTTTAACTTAATGAAATATCTAGATATATGTATGCCGTTTTGTTATTTAGAATTATATTGTGTTAAAACATGATCTGATTCTGTTTCCGGGAGGAAAATGTAGTTTCAGCTACATGCCTACAACTCCCAGACATTCACGCACCCACCCATTATACTGGGTGGGTGCGTGGGTGTGAAACTGGGTTTCTTTTTCAGAAATAGATCCTGTCTAACTGTGAACACTAAGAAACACCTTAGAGGCAGGCCAGCCGACTCAAGACCCAGAAGTCCCAGGTTCGATCCCCAGCCATTCCCACATGTCGTGGTGTCTCTGAGCAAGACACCCAATCCCCAATTCTTCCCCGGGCGCTTACGTAGCTGCCCACTGCTCCACCTGGGTGTATTCCAGGTGCTATGGGTTAAATGCAGAGACTAATTTTGCCATTATATGGAAACCTACAATAATGAAACATACAATAATGAAACATACAATAATGACACCACACAACACATTATTATTATTATTATCTGTGACTTTCCTTCCCTCCATTGATTACGGTGACATTATTTACATGAACGCTCCTACAAGAACCCTGCAGATGTTGGATGCTGCAGATGTTGGATGCTGTCTATCATGGTGCACTAAGATTCATAACTGGCTGTAACTACCGTACCCACCACTGCACCCAGTATTCACTGGTTAACTGGTCACCATTAACTTCACACAGACTCTCCCACTGGTACATTTTCATCTTTAAATCACTTCCTGGTCTGCTGCCTTCATACATCTCCTCCTACATGTCTCTGTGTGAGTGCAGCTACAGCGTGCGCTCTCAGGACATCATTACCTGCAGTGTTCCCTCAGTGAGGACTGAACTAGACAAAAGGACCTTCTCCTACTCCGCTCCTGTTTCCTGGAACATCTTGTAAAAAGATCTGAAGCTCTCGACCTTTGACCTCTCTAAGTGGCTTCAAACATCTGATAAGTTCCTGCAGATGTTCCTGTTTTTAGTTTTCTACATTGTTTCATAATGTAGCTGTTTTTTATCACTGCTTTTATTTACTTTTCATTTTATATGCATTTTATGGCTGTTTATTATTGTCTGCACCTCATCAGGTCTCAGCAGTCTCTCTTGTAAATGAGTCCTCGAGGCTCAATGAGACTAACATGTAGAAATAAAGGTTGAATAAAAAAAATTAATTGTTTAAACCATCCCAATTTTACAGCAGTTTCAAGATGATCTACAATTAAATCTGTTTTATTTCACATGATTCCTATGTTTTCATGTGGATGAGAACATTTCTAGAAACGATGCTGTAGTTATGAGAAAATAATGTTTTGTAAAGAGAGCAGTCCCATGTGAACGTGGCCTTAGTCTAAAACTGTCAAGAGCGATGGCCGGCGACATGCATTCCTTTTAAAATGCTTTAACAACAATTTTCTAATGTTTTATTTTCCTGAACCAGACTTTTTCAAAATGGTCTTGATCAAATCTGCCTGAAGGAGTTCTGAGCACAGGCTCCCGGTGCTGAAGGCCGTCCAAACTTTGGTTGCTTTTCCACATGTTTAGTCCCGTTTCTGAACATTTCTTTTGTTTCTTATTTTCCGTCAGTTAACATCTTAATTATTCAAGCAAATAAAAAGATAAATCAACTGATGAACGAGGGTTGTGTGGACATATAACAGAACTCGGTGAAGAACCCATTTTAAATAGAATCTTTAGTTTCGTTGTTACCAGCTGTCTGTTACAAAATTACATTTTGTTCAGGTTAATTCATGATTTATGATGGAGAAGGTTTTTAACCGTGTTCCTCGAGGTGCACTGTGAGTATGGATTGGGGGCCCGTTGTTACAGACTGTCCGGTGTATGTATATATATATATATATAATATAAAATATATATATATACAAGCGGTGCGAGAGTTTGGTTTGCATTGTTGACAGTAAGTCGGACCCTTCAGGGTGGGAGTTGGACCCCTCCAGAGCTGCTCGTTGTCACTGATTCTGTTCATAACTTTTATGGACAGAACTTCTTGATGCAGCCAGGGGGTGGAGGGAGTCCGGTTCAGTGGCCTCAGGATTCATCTCTGCTCTTTGCAGATGATGTGGTCCTGTTGGTGTCATTATATTCAAGTTCAAGTATCTCTGGGTTTTGTTCACAAGTGAGGGAAGAATGGAGCGTGAGATTGACAGACGGATTGATGCAGCTTCTGCAGTATTGTGGACTCTGTACCGGTCCGTTGTGGTGAAGAAGGAGCTGAGCTGTAAGGCTCTTTGTTTACTGGTCGGTCTACGTTCCTCCCCTCACCTCTGGTCATGAACTCTGGTAGAGACTGAAAGAATGAGATCGTGGATCCAGGAGGTTGAAATGAGTTTCCTCTGCAGGAGCTGGACTCTCCCTTAGAGACAGGGGGAGAAGTTCAGTTATCAGGAGAGACTCAGAGTAGAACCACTGCTCCTCCACATCCAGAGGAGACAGTTGAGGTGGTTCATCTGATAAGGATGCTCCCTGGGCACCTCCCTAGAGAGGTGCTTCATGCATGTCTGACTGGGAGGAGACCCCGGGGAAGACCCATGACACTCTGGAGAGACTACATCTCTCAGTTGGTCTGGGAACACCTTGGAGTCCTCCCAGAAGAACTGGAAGAGGCTGTGGAGAGAGATGTCTGGACCTCCCTGCTCAAGATGCTGCCCCAAAGACCTGAGTCCAGAACAAGAGCAAGATGATGGATGGATGAATGTATGGACTCAGATCTCAGAAACCCTTAAAGAGACGGAGAGGGGGAGGCAGAGGAAGCACTTGTGCTACTTTTCGGTTCCTTCAGACACACAAATTCTCAATATTCATGCAGCTAAAACCATTTTTGCACAAACCCCAAATGTGGCGTGTTTGTTCCCAAATCCCAAATCAAGCCGATTTGACCAACACCTCAAAGAGAAGCATCATACCAGATTTGGTCTTGCACCACAATTTGCACGATTTTTCCGTTATCCGCTCCACTAAAGCCGAGTTGCAGAGAGATAGCACGAGTGTGAAGAAATGAGCGCCGAGGTCAGAGCGCATACCAGCCGCAGCACGAAGAGATAACTCTAGAGAGGAATCCCACCCTGCTGGGATGGCACTTCAACACGGAGTGAAGCGGCTGATTTATGTCCATGTAATGAGCTGAGGCTGCAGCGTTTCTGCAACAGATTCATTTCACCACACCAGGACTGTTGAGACACACGAGGCAGCCATGGAGTCGTCGTTAGCTCAGTGAGTTGCTTCTTGGACTTGAGTTTTCAGTTCACCCAGATCAACCCTTTTCCGATCACTCTTGTACTTAGATTTAGGTTTTAATCAAACTAACAGTCAGTTTGATGCACATCTAAAGCTGACGACCTTTTGGAGAGGCTGCTGTTCGTGAACACTAAACTTGTTATATCTGAGTCAGTTGTGCAGGTCGAGCTGAAGTTTGGTGTGACAGCACAGAAAGCCGCGCACCTGCACATTAAACAGTCGGCAAGTCAGCAGCCTGCAAGGCTGGGGCCGTATTCCTTCAAATAATTATGGTTTTAATTGTATTCCTGCACATAAATCTGTTTTTATTCTTGATCCTGATGTGCATTTGTTTTCTGCTGCCTATCTGTTGTCGGGTCACAGAGGCAGCAGGTCCAGGTGAAAAGTCCACACCTCCCTTTCCCTCGCAACACTCCAGTTCCTCTGGGGGTGTCACAATCGTATTCCCTGCTCGTAGCCATAATCTCTCCAGGGTTCTGCTCTAAGGAGTAGAGGGAGACTCTTAATCAGAAAACCAAAACACCTCGGCTAACTCCTCCTGATATGGAGGAGCAGTGGCTCTACTCCCAGCTCCTCATGGACGACAGGTCCCGGCCTCGTTACTGCAGACCAGGCCTGGATCTGCTGGTCTGGCTCCGTCCTACTTCCCCTCAACACAACACGTCCAGATACACATGGTATGGTATATAGTTTATTCATTTTAAAAAAACAATTCCATAACAATATAAAAAGATACGAGAGATTTAAAATGAAAGGCAGCAGAAAGAAGAAAAAATCTTATTATATCTGCCCCTTTTTTCAAACAATTATTTCAATCATAATAATTTTCAAGTAACAGAACAAAATGAATAACTCTTTCTAATTTTTATAATTCTAATACAAAACACACACTAAGCTACTTCATATATACTTTTTTAACAATTCAGTTTTGATTTTTTTCTTAAATGTACACATTGACTTGTCATTTTTCACATCACTCTCTAGAACATTCCACAATCCAACTCCTTGGATTGAGGTAGACCTTCCCTTCAGACTAGTTCTGAAGTTTGGTTTGACAAATATCTCTATCCCCTTAAGATTATAACAACTTTGTCTTTTAACAACATTTCTTTGGATATTTAATGGTAATGTGTTATTTTGAGCCCTATACATAACTGATAAAATACAATAATCTACCAAATCATGGAACTTCAATAAGTTCAGTTGATAAAATAATGTGCTTGATGGGTGACAGTAATGCTTTCTGGTGATAATTCTTACAGCTCTTTTCTGTAAAATAAAAATAGGTTTTGTAAATGTTTTACACGCTTTCCCCCAAACATCAATGCAATAGATTAAATGTGGAACAATGATTGTGTTATACAACATGTACAGAGCTTTATCATTTAATAATTCCCTGACTTTGTATAGTACTGCAATAGATTTAGATATTTTTGTTCTTACAGAATTGATGTGATTTTTCCATGTTAGCTGTTCATCAATGATTACACCCAAAAATTTCATCTCATTAACTCTACAAATCTCAACACCCTCAATTTTAAATGGATTATCAACAGTTCTCTTTTTGTTACTAAATATCATGTATTTAGTTTTATCTAAATTTAATGATAATTTATTAAGTTTAAACCAAGTTTGTATTTTATCAAATTCTGTCTTCATCAGTTCCAACATCCGTTTCACATCTTTACCCAAACAAAAAAATGTGGTGTCATCTGCAAAAAGGACACATTTGAAGAGTCCTGATACATTCACTAAGTCATTCACATATAAAATAAATAACTTTGGTCCAAGTACAGAGCCTTGAGGAACTCCACAAGTGATATTGCACAGGTCAGATCTTACACCATTTATTTGTACAAACTGTTTCCTATCTTTTAAATAGCTAGATACCCAGTGTAATGCTGGTCCTCTTATACCATATTTATTTAATTTTTCAAGGAGAATAGTGTGGTCAATAGTATCGAATGCTTTTTTTAAATCAACAAAAATACTAACACAATACTGTTTTTGATCGACAGCAGTAGTTATTTGTTCCATTATTTCCATGAGAGCCATTGATGTAGAGTTTTTTGCTCTAAACCCATACTGACTGCTACTTAGAATGTTTTGTTTAGTAATAAATTTATCTAATCTGGTCACAAATAGTTTTTCTAGAATTTTTGAGAACTGTGGTAATAAGGATATTGGTCTATAATTATTGAACACACATTTATCACCATTTTTAAAGAGAGGAACTACCTTAGCTACTTTCATATTGTCTGGAAATATTCCTTTTGAAAATGATAAATTACAAATATATGTAAACGGCTCGATAACATAACTCATTATGTCCTTTACAAACATCATATCCATGTCCACCCAGTCTTTTGATCTCTTATCTGTAAGATTTTTTACTACATTCATTATTTCTTCTTTGTCAGTTCCATTAAGAAAAATACTGTTGTCACAACCTATAACTGAATGGTTCACATTATTGTCTACTTTTGGTATTTTAGCAGCAAGGCTTGATCCAACGTTCACAAATTGATGATTAAATCCATTTACAATTTCATTTTCATCATGGATTTCATCGTCATCCTTCAAAAAATATTGTGAAACACCTGTTTTTGCTTTATGACTTTTCAGAACACTATTTATTACTCGCCATGTAGCTTTCATATCACCATTACTTTTATTTAATAAATCACTATAATATTCCTTCTTGTGTTTCCTTATAATCGCTACTAATTTATTTTTATACTTCTTATATTTCTCTTCAGCCTCTTGTGTTCTCAGTTTCAAGAAACATGTATACAAATAATTCTTTTTTATTTTACAAGTATTTCTCAACCCTTTCGTCATCCATGGTTGGTCAACAACATTTCTCTTTGTACAATTATTTTGCACACAATTCTTTTCATACAGAGCTCCTAAAATATTCATAAACTCATCATATGATCTGTTCACATCATCAACATACACGTCTTTCCAGCTTTGTTTATGTAAATCATCTTTTAATTTGTCCATTGCTTTTTTTGATGTGTTTATTGTTTTTTTCTTAATTGTAATTTCTTTTGTAATGCTTTGATCATTTTTATAAATCATGAAAACTGGTAAATGATCACTCAAATCACTCGTTAAAATACCTCCCATCACATCCCCATTTGTTACATTTGTGAAAATATTATCGATTATTGTAGAACTATGAGTTGTAATTCTTGTTGGTACATGAACTGCTCCACTCCTTCTGAAACATGGTGTTCATTTTCATTCACCTGCTACGTGCACTTAGTTCACTTCTTACAATTTAGACCCCATGCTCTGGGTCCTAGTGTATTTTATATATATGTGTGTGTGTGTGTGTGTGTGTGTGTGTGTGTGTGTGTGTGTGTGTTTGTTGTGTTGTTGGCCATCTTGGATTTCGATGTGGCAACCCAACTTCTGAAATGAATCTCGTCTAACCAGCATGTTGCTCATTTTTCAAGACGAAATCTATTGGCTCAGTGGCGGGGGACACCAACAGTGCGACAGCTCCGTCTTCATGTGAGGCAACTTGTTTTTGGGGGGGCCTCATGGGTTCACCACTGTAGACTAAACTACAACAATTATTTTTGTGTTTGGAAAAGATCTGACGCTGTAACAGGCGGTGGAGGGAGATGGCTTCCTCGGTCAACAAACCAGTGATCAGCTGATCGAATTTTAATATTTTTGTGTCTTTGGTTTTTTCAGGTGGACTTTGAGGACATCATCGCAGAGCCCGCAGGGACCTACAGCTTCGACGGTGTATGGAAAGCCAGTTTCACCACGTTCACCGTCACCAAGTACTGGTGCTACCGGCTGCTGACGGCGCTGGTCGGCATCCCGCTGGCACTGATCTGGGGAATCTTCTTCGCCATCCTGTCCTTCGTGCACATCTGGGCCGTGGTGCCGTGCATCAAGAGCTACCTGATCGAGACCCACTGCATCAGCCGCGTCTTCTCCATCTGCGTGCACACCTTCTTCGACCCGCTGTTCGAGGCCATGGGCAAGTGCTTCAGCAGCATCCGGATCCGCCTGTCCAAGGAGGTGTAGCGCTCCTGAAGGAGGAGCAAGAGGAGGATTCAAGGATTATCAGGAGTGGGGAACGGGGGGGGGGGGGGGGGGGACTGCATCACCACCAGTGGAGGGAAACGTTCGGGGACGGTGAAACAGACCTCTGGATAAATGGGAGGCTGTGGGATGTTTGGAGAGGAGGGGGTGTGGCCTGTTGGCAGCTGGTCCCGCATTTTTCACGAGCGTCCCCCCTCCCCCCGATGTTAAAACCAAAAGGGTGGGCACAGAAATGAAAGGGTGGGGGGTGGGGGGGTTGTTTGGATTTTTAAGCCTCACTGTATCTAAAGCCAGAAGCCAAACTCTGTATTTTGTCGTCTTTACGAGAGGTGTGGGGGGTCGAGGTGGAACCGGGGGGGGTGTACAGGGGGCATTCGTGTTGTTTTTTCCAGGGCGTGGGGGGGTTGAGGGGGTCAAACCAGGGATAAACATCGAGTGCTGCCATTTTCTGTTTGACTCAGCAACACCCACCTTCCTCCTGTTTCCCTTCACGTGACCAACCCACCTCCCCCTCTTCCTGACCCCCCCACCACGACCACCACCCCCACCGTCTGACACACTGAGCCTGCCTACTTCCCCCACACTCACCCGCACCCCACACGCCCCCGTCCAGTGCACGACCGTACGGTGCAGAAAGCCGTGTCCTCAGCTAACTTCATGCAGATGTTTGGTTTCGCTCCACAGCTGCAGAACTGACTGAAACATTGAACTTCTTCTGGTTGTGGGGACTTTTCTTCATCGCGGCTCTATGAACACCAACATGTTGGACTTGGGGAACTTCAGGGCCGTTGGAGTGCAGTCTGGGTGTTCGTGCAGAAACCCGCGACCTTGTTCTGATGCGTTGACCTTTGGGAACGTGTTCCCGATTTAAAATAAAACGTCTCCTTGGTTACGCCTGCAGAGGCGGAGCCTTCAGGTTGACCTCACGGTGCAATATTCAGCCCGTGTAGCAGAAATGCTACCAAAGGTGGGGGCTGAGGGGGCTATGGACACCCTTTGCTGTCCTCCAACACACCCCTGGCAAAAGAGTTCTATATCCATTGCCTGTTAGCAAAATATCTTGTGAGCTACTGGACATATTTTAATGGAACTCTCAGAAAATAATTGTTCTTTCAACAGACTGATGATCCAAAATGGCCGTCGCAGCTAATCTGAATGGCTACAACTCAGTCAATTCAACAGATAATGAGCTAAAACTTGGTGTGGTAGTAGCTAGGAGTGGTTGCTAACTCGTACTCAGAGCACAAGCTGATCCCATGAGGTCTTTGCTTGAACCTGGGGGGTGATGTGCATCACAGAACGTCAGCTTCAGCTGTAAAGTGTGAGCTGACCTTCAGAGAGCCGAGCTTAAAGCTTCAGCGTGTCAACGACTGACGCTCTCAGCTGCTCGTCCATCAGAGCAGCTCTACATCAGGGCTATTCAACCGGTGGCCCGGGGGCCAAATCAGGGCCCCGGGTGAGCTCAGTTCAGCCCACCAACGGGTTCATTTTATAAACAAAACTAGATTTTAAATCATGAAACAAACTTAATGACAGTAAGTGCTGGATGTCCGGCCCTGAGCTCTTCAGTGTCAGTACCTGTGGCCCCTGAGCTCTTCACTGTCAGTACCTGTGGCCCCTGAGCTCTC